ATACATACATACATACATGCCACTGAAACCAATAGCTACCATAGCTCAATAGTTTCATTTGTACGGGTCCAGCTGAACCCCGGCCCTGCATGGTGACTCCCCGATCTTCACTCCCCAGCCCTAATTCTCAACTTTGCTCCCTAAACTCGGGTTTAGGGTTTAGGCTTTAATTAGGGTTTAGGGTTTAGGCTGTAATTACGGGTTTAGGGTTTAGGGTTTAGGCTTGAAGTAGGGGTTTAGAGTTTAGGGCTTAATTACGGGTCTAGGGTGTAGGGTTTAATTAGGGGTTTAGGGTTTAGGGGAAAACTTCCACCTGAAGCCTAACGCCCCAAACCCTGAACCTGAACGCCAACCCCAACTCTAAATGTGCAGGGTGGCCTGGGAGCGAGGAGAGCGTGCCGGCGACGCATCAGTGGGCTACGTCACCCTGCCACAGTAGCGGTTGGCCTAAGGCTCCACGTGCCCGTATAGCATTAATTTGGGCTTTCAACGGGTTCTTATAGTGTTAGGCAATTCAAGGCATAAGTTTAAGTCCATGTATAATTATGGTAGTAGGCACACGGAGCCTTAGGTTCGTTGAGGGGTCATGGATTGATTTTGCAGGGGTTTGGCTTGGGGCTTCGGATGGGTTTGGGATTTAGAGCTTAGGGTTCAACATTTAGGGTTTGGGCATGTAGGCTGACCAGGCGAAGCCCCTTTGTCTGAATTATAGACTTGGTTCTCCGATACCCAATCTGTATTTTTTGGAGCGCTTCTAGCTTAAATCTGAAAGTTTAACCTTTCATTTTTGGGCCCGTATAGCTTAAATCTGAAAGTTTAACCTTTCGTTTTCCTGGCTGATTGGGCCAACGAGAGGTCCCTTCATCTACCCGGAGAGGACAAAGCGCCGACAGTCACAGCGGAACCCTTGCAGCCTGAGCAGGCCCAAACCCCTTTCGACCTCAAATTTATCCTTTGTCTTCTTTGGACTACTTGGAGGTTCATGGTTACTTATAAGTGGAGTTATAAGTCCCCTAATTTGGGTTACAAGTATAGTTACCCTACTTATAACCCCACTTATAACTACCCATGAACCTCCAAGTAGGGCAGCGAGGGGATTGCATAGTACTAGTAGGCGCGCTTAAGGGTTCTGCTTTATGGACGCTTCATTGAGG